CCAATGCCAAGTTGTCCCTTTGTTGCTCTGCAGACTTGGAGAGGAATAGGGGCGTTTTTTAGTGAATTTCAAGAAAAGGCAGAAATGTTTGTAAGGGGAGAACTGCTGGTCCTTGAAATCTTTCTGCTCAGGAGCCTTTTAGGTACAGAAAGGGGATAATAAGAGAGGGTTCATGTGAAGAACATCCGATGCCAGGGACCTGGCAGGGTAAGAGTAGCAAGAACCAGACCTGGCCACGTTAGTTGGTAAGGGTGTGGAATGTGGTAAAGTTAGTTTTGAAGAGGTTAGCTGACTGAGGAGCTTGTCAAATGGGATACTAAGGGACAGGGGGAAGGCAGAAAGATCAGGGGGATGCGAACCCGGCAGAGGGAAAGGCAGCAACCCAGCCCTGCCCCTCGCGGCTGTGGGTGGGATCTCGGGAATCCGCCTCATCCCAGGGCTTTGCAGCGGGTGGGGCTGGAAGCCCGAGGGTCCAGGATGCTGAGGGGTGGGTGGGACAGTGTCAGCAGCGGGGACAGCCTGTGCCTGGTGCCAGCTGCTGGGGACGGTGTCCCTGTCCTGCCCAGACTGGTTCTGTGCTCTCACTGCAAAGTTCAAGCTTGAACCAGGTCTGGGCAGAGGGTCTGGGTGGACCACGAGTGTGTGGTGTCCATGGGGGACGGGCTGTGTGATGGAATCCAGAGGGACTGGAGAGCAGGGGCCCCACGGGGGCTGTGTGTGCTGGGGCAGGCAGCTAGGCTCTGGACACCCCTGAACTGCAAAGGCAGGAATGAAAAACAATAAGGGGGGGTGTTGATGAAACCCCACCCAACCCATTGTTCTGACAAACCAGTGCCTGAGGCTCCAGATCAGCACTTACACACTTTCATACCTGACTCCTCCAGCTCCAGTATTTTGCTCCTGTTTGTGCTTCATGTGTTGAAATTTGTCTCTCCTAAATACCAGCTGGAAACCAGTCCAAAACACAAGCAGTGCAGCCCGGGGCTGTCACTGAGGTGTACCTGGGGGGCTGCAGCCCATGTCAGCTCTGGGTTTTGCTCACCTGCTCGTTTTTCAAATCAACTTTTCCCCAAGAAAAGTTGCTGGACCTTGCCCTGAACTGAAACACGGGTGAAGGATGGAAGAGCTGACTAGACCAGGCATGCTGGTAACAGCCCAGCTGTCTGGATCTCCCACCACCAAGAGCTGGAGAACTGAAACATTTGCTGCCTTTTGAATTCCCAGGGTTTTCATTTCAGGAATGACTACAGAATGATCCTGGCATACTAGAACTGCCACTGTTAGGAAGCACATTCTGAGTAACTCTCTTCTCCCTGTGGTGACAAGACTGATGTTATGAAAGTACAAAGACTAACTAAGACATCTTGTCCCTTCCTTCTTTTTTAAGCTAAAAACAACTGGGAGGTAATTGATTCAAGTTGTCTTTCAGGCCCTGATGTGTGAAATAAGGTTCCTCTTCATAGGCTGCTGTCCTGACTTCTGCTACTATTCCTTGCTGTGATTGAATGACACGTGGTGATGGGAACCAGAGAATGGGCAGGAAGCAAAGACTCATTTGTGCTTTTTTTTTAATAAAAAAAAACCAACAAACTGCTGCTACAACACTATCAGTGCTTTTTTTAATATTTCTTTAATTTTCACTTTGCTGGAAGTCTGGAAGTTCATCTGATCTCAGGTGGGACTCAGAGGGAGGCAAACCCAAGGATTAGCAAAGCAGGGAGCTGTGTGGGTAGTGAGGGGCACGGATTGTGTGCCAAGCTTGTGGAAGCCCCTGCACGGAGGAGCATGGGCCCAGAAGGTCTGTGTTGCTGCAGCCAGGCTGTACAAAAGCCATGAGTGTCCATCAGTCTGGAAGGCAGCTGGTGGTCTGCAGCCAGGGTCTGTCCTCACTGCACTCCCTTGGCTGGGGGCTCTTCTAGGGTCTAACCTGGATCCAGGCTCATGGTCCCTGATGTGTTCCCGGCGTTGCTGCTGAGCACTCCCGTTTGTCCACAGCTTCCCAATGCATTTTGTGAGGCTGAATTATCCAAGATTGTGGGCCTCCTCCTGGCTCTCCATCCCACCCCTGCTGAGTATTCCCCTGAAGCAGGTGATCAGATGATCCCTATTCCTGTAACCCCCTGCATGGACCTCATGCAACAGCAACGCTTTGTCCTCTTCCTGCCAGGCTGACAGTCCCAAGCACCTTGTGCTCTGGATGCTCATGCTCTTCCCACTGCTCACGTTCCCAGTTCCTCCCCTCTGTTCCTCTTCATCCATCACCTTACTGCCACCACAGCATTTCTCTAGCACCTTCTGCTGTGTCGAGGCCCTGGCCTTTAACAAGGGGAGCTCCAGACCAGTGTTTGAAAAGCCCATGAGAAGCTCTCCCCTTTTCTGCAGGTTGCCCTTCATCGCTGACTCCTTTAACCTTGTAATCCATGGAGAAACCCTGTCCTTCCCAGTGCAGGGGTATTTCTGCTGCAGCACAAAGTGCAGATCAGCTCTGCTGGGCGTTGTGTGGGAAGGGACTGGCTGAGCTCTGCAGTTTGAACAAAACTCTGATACCTGTTGATTTCATTTCAAGGAACAGGAGCAGGGACCCCTTCCTGCCTCACCCCTGCAGCTCCCCTCTTGCAGGTTTAAAGTGTTTCTCCATTCGAAGCTTGGTGTAAAAACCCTTTTAAAGTCCCTGCTTTGAAATGATGACACAGAAAATGCTTTTCATGGAGAACATCTCCTTTTCATCACCTCCCTTCTCCCCACCTCTTCAGAGCTTGTCCCACAGGATGGTTTTGTGGAGGAGCAGGTAGGGGATTGGTTTGGGGTGGCAGGAAACTGACAAACTCCAACCAGGCTGTGTTATCAGCAGTGAGATCTGGGTGATGTGAGCAGAAAAAATGGGGTTAAATGTTGAGAAGAAGGGAAAATCAAAACATGTGTGCATATATAGAGTGATATTTGGTACAGAAATAACATGAAGAAACAACACACAAACTTGTTTTCCAGGCCTGTTTAGGCCTGGGGCTCTTGGTCTAACTGCTTGCCCTTTGTTTTACTTAATTAAAGTCAGTATATTAACTAAGGGAATCGCTGACATCTGTGATTTACTAAAATAGTGATGAGTTGAAAAAAGCCA